CAAGACCACAAAAAGTTCACGTAGATGACTCTTAAGAAATTCTATTTTATAGACATTGAAAAGGCCTTCATTTAGAAAACACAACTCAAGATCCAATAAAACAAAGGACCTCACTGGATCTAGTATTGTGCTTTAGAATCACGCTGAAAGATAAACAAACTGTAAGACAAAAACAAGAGAGTGATGGCCTTTTTTGCATGCTTTCAAACGAGCTCCTGCAGTGAAAACAATATAAGATGTCATAAACATAAAATGGACAAAGCTTATGGTAACAGATCACTTTAACAAAGACTAGAGGATGAATTCAGGAATGTAAAAAACACAAACAAAAGAACAAAAACGGATCCAAGCTTACATTCAAAAGGAACAATACATAAAGTCATAAACTAATGATGATGAAGTAGCTAAATCCTGATTAGTGATTAAGGTATCAGGCTACTGAGAATGTGATACATCAGAGAGAAGAATATAGCATTTATAGTCAGTTCGATCACAGATCCCCCCAACCTTTCAGATATTAGAAGAGCCAAAACATGCTGAGATCAATCAAAACAAAAAGAAAGTGACCAAAAGACATGACAAAATGATGTCTGAAAGCAATAAGATTATTCAGCAGGTTGTAACGGAGCCGGATAAATTGCAGCAAATCCAAACAAAAGAAACCACTGATAAGCATATAAAATATATATATATATATACAGAAGCAGAGTAAAGCAGCCATGACCCCAATTGGTTAATTGAAGCAGATTAAGCTGTCATAACTCAAATTTTTTTGACTGAAGCAGCCATTACTTTAATTTTTTTTAACTGAAGCAGATTAAGCAGCCATTGCTATGAAGCAGACATTAATTTTATTTTTTTAAGCTCTCTACCAAATGCCCACCATTGGCTTTTATGAACAAAAACTCATTGAAAACACAAAATCAGCAATTTCGTTCCCTCATGGACTCACGGGTCACCGACTAAAACAGAGACAAAAATCACGGCAGCAAGATTCAAACGATCTGCAAAATGAGAGTTTAAACATGCGCAAATCTGAGCAGATTTGAACAATCTGGATCAATAAATTTGGCGAAACAAGCGAGGGAGCTTACAGGAACAATGAAAAATGGAAAAAAAAATCTATAGGGTTTTGAGTGAGCAAACCTCCGCAAAATCTGTGTTGAGATCGATTGATGATGGGCAAGCGAAAATTTAGAACCTTTCGAAAAGCCAATCTATTTTCATTTCTCGGGTTCCTCGAATTCTGGGAATGAGGGGGTAGGATATTTCAGGAAAATGCTCGTCTTTTTGAGCTAAGCGTTCAGATTCGAAAAGAGTTCTTGCCACTACACCAACCTTCACATGGTGCGGTGAGCTGAGTGGTTTTAGATTCTTCTTATTTTCTTTATTTTCTTTTCACTATATAACGTTTTTTCCAGGAAGAAAATAAAAACTGTCCAGATTTCCCATAAATACCCAAAGAAAAATATAATGATAAGTAATAAATGATGTATAAATTTTGGATTGAAATATTACTTTTGATTTATGGTAATATCATAGAAAATTTTGAGGAAAAAATCTTGACTTCATCAGCAAGATATAACCGTTTTTTCTTTCAAATACTTGGTATAAATACTGCTCTATAATCGTTTTGGTCAAAATATTCTCTTTCCTTTCATAAATAATTATCATTATGTTGACTAAAAAGTCCATATAATCTAGCAGAATTATATGAAAAAGGACGAAAAAAAATTCGATAAAGAAACTCAAGCGTTATAAATTTCTTTATTATGTGGAATAATAGTGTGTACACAATTTTTTTTTATAATAAATTTTCAATATGTACAAAGTACTATCCGGATAATATAAAATCAAATGACATGTCTCTTTTTGGCTCTAATTTTTTCCTGAATTTTTTGCTCTGAAATTTGAAAATATTCTGTTCTTTTCTGTAGATATTTTTTTCGTTCACAGGATGGATGGCAAGGAGCTGTTTTATTTCGTTCTAATTTTTTTCGTTCCAATTCAAGGAGTACAAAATAATTTTGTAAGAATATTTCATTAAAAATAGGTCGTAGCCCAATGTTTCTCAATCCATAAGATAGACACGGCCCTGCATGGAGCTAATACAGTTGAAAACAGAGAAACGAAAAAGACGATTGATGGGTTGGGGGTAAATAAGCCTTTCTTTTCGTCTTCATGACTTTTGTATTTACCCGAAAAATGATCCCTGTATGTGTATATATTCAAATTACATTTCTTGAAGCCAATCTCTGTGGCTTTTCGTATGGGCACACACTATACAATGACACTCTTCACAAACATCAAAGGGGAAAAGAAACAAAAATAAGGGTAAAAGCGAAAATCTCGTACCCGGGGCTTCTAGTTGGTAAGACAAGACTGGAAGTTACTCTTCTTGTTAGCCAAAATTTGGTGAGAGGATTATCCGATTATATTATATTCTTCTATGAGAGACGAAGAGCCATTTGCTGAAGAAGAACTTTCTTCTGAGATGCATTTATGACTCCTTTGCATTCTGCATCGAGTAAGACCTCGTTCATTATGGCCGCTGCATGACCTCGAGGTTCATCCGATGCTCTTCTTAGCATAAATACCTGCATTCAATCCAACCCTTAGAACAACATCTTGGCATTACCGTTCCAATTTTCTTTCTTTACTAATGATCCCACACTCGTTAATAATAAATAATGGAGTTTCTTAGGATTTTTGTCATATGATTGATGCAAAGGAAATGATGTTACCTGTCCATGATGAGTTATCTCCAAGCAGCCAGGTTGCTGAATAAACGGTTCTCCATCTATTTGAACAGGGAAAGGACTAGACACATGTATTTTTATGACCTTTCCCTGTGCTAGCCTCCTCGCCTGAGAAAGACCGACCTGTAAGGGAGAATCGCGCGTTAAAAAATTTGTTGAATCTATTCATTTAAATCTTTTAGCCTCGCACTGAATAGAAATTACTGCTGAATATTTCTGCAGGTTTGAAGACGATGGTATAAAATGTATGAGAAAGACGAGGAAGGAGCCAATTCGAGAAGAGATCAGACCTGTAGTTTGCCCAGATGCCACGCTCCACGGACACATACAACCTCAAGTGTCTTGTCGTGCATAGACTGTATGCTAAAATTATCATCATGTTCATAATCATTTTGCCAAAGATCTACTCCACCCATATAGCTTCCAATGTTTAGTACTATTAGACCCTCTGAATCCTGAAAAGAACACAAATTAGAGGCATCATTTTCAAGAGGCAACAACAACGATGTTAGTCATTTGCTAAAATCAACATCTTATTCCCAGAAAATCAAAGCATTTTCCAGATGGGAAACAAATTGCAGTTGTCAACTATGGTTTTTACTTTTTACCAAGCGATTATGTGCTCTCTCTCATGCTCAAATTTTACCTAATATATGCTCAAATTTTAACTCTCTGGTCGGGATTTCGGTATTAGCAAAAAACGAAAAGGCACAGCGTTAAACAAATCCTATAACAACACACCACACAAGACAGGAAGAAAGGACTGAGTTAATTAAAGTACGATACCATAGGGATCTCAACGTCTTTTCCATCAACTTCAAGCCAAACTTGCCATGGTAAATCGGCAC